CAGGCCTAAATGCTATACTTTGCTCCGATTCCTGGGTTGAGAAACAAATGTTTAAACATAATTTWAAAAAAAACAACACTGTCTAAATTTTAAAATTTTGGTTTGTTTTAGGGGTGATGTTTTACAAAAACAGTTTGTCCAATTTTAAACTCTATCAGTAAAATATGCCAGATGGGATTATTAATCCTACTTTGTGACAAAATTCCACAAAAAATGTTTTTTATTTGTTTAGACATCTAGTCTGAACCAAAAAAAAAAAAAAAGCTTAAAAGAAGCCCAGTTTGGGTTCACCTCCTTCTCACTGTAGGAGATGTTGCGGATCCCGCTCCAGGGGAAGGACTTGTTGGGGTTGAGTTTATTGTTGGGGTTGTAGATATGAAGACCCTGAGCGTCCACTCCTAGRAGCAGCTCCGTGTCCCTTTTATTTTGCTGTGGACATAAACAACACGGCAGCAAAGTGAAAGGCTGGCGTTTTTCAATGRCAACATGCAAATATGACCTTTATGTCACAGCGGCTGACACTCACAGTAATGGCAAAGTAGCTGACGCCYTACATTTCAAGGTCCTGAGCGATCTTTAAGTATTCCATCTCAGCTTCGTCCCTGGATGGAAAACATCAGAACAAACATTCAGCTGTAATAAAGCCAGAACCACACCTTTGGTAAAGTGAAGATGTGAACGTCGGGAGGGGATCCTACCTGGCGATGCCTCGGTGTTCAGCATACCAAGCTGTGATCTTCTCCTCCCACATGTCAGCTGTCATCTGGTACTGCATCAGAACCTGGAGCCATCGCAGAGAGGACGTTACTCACCGAGCGCACAGACATAAGCAGGGACAACACTGACTCATGTGACAGAAGAATCAATCTGTTTCCACAGAAATCTGCAAGCAGATTGGATATTTACCCTTTTTGGCAACAGCTCGTCTTGCGCAAGGAAGCCCGGCTTATGAAAGTTTGGGTCATAGTCCCCATACTGGGATTGAAATTAAAGAGGTCGATTGATTGATGAGAGGCGAAAAAAAAACATATTGCTTATTAGAAAGAAAACACATTGTCATGAAAAATACTTCAACAGGCTGTGATAAACCTATTTTAACTAGAGCTGTGAAATTAATCGAGTTAACTCTGATTAATTTTAGTGCTACATGGTCATAGATTAAAATTTTTTAATCGCGATTAAAATTTACAATCACTTTACTCTGGCTGAATATGTAGGTTTGTATATTGTAATGCACTCAGTGCATGCCAGGTCATGTTTGTAAATGAGAACTGGTTCTCAAACAGTTTACCTGGATAAATAAAGGTTAAATATTCCTTTTTGTCTTCTTATGCCTTTTTTATTTATTTATTTATGTTTTGCTGACAACTGTGACCTTAGTATCTATCTTTCATTCCTCATGTAGTACTCACTGGGAATGAAAATCCTTGAATTCTTGATTTAACCTCATTATTCTGCACAAAATTTAACTGACTCAAATATGTTTGGAGCATTTTTTAGGTCCTGTTTTATATTTAAAAAATCATGTCTAAGCATCAATTTTGTTTTCAAAATAAAAAAATTAAAAACTAATTAATAACTCAAGTAATTTATTTTATCAATGTGCAATAGAAATGTTTATTAAATTTAAGATTAATCAAGATTAATTCACAGCTACTTTGGGATTAATCAGATTAAAAATATTAACAATTTGACAGCCCTAATTTTAACATACAGAAAATCATCCTTATGAGATGCAACAAGAATCTAGTGTTGAATGATCTCACCTTTGCTTGGACGGCATATGACGCTAAAAGAACCGAGGCTTCAGGAGAGCAGAATATCTCTTCATCTAATATCTGCTTTTTCACCTAAAGAACAGTTTGATAACACAATGAGTACTAAGCTACACAAATATCTACATTTTTTAGTTTTTAACAATTCAATTTAAAGGAGACATATGCAAAATCCACTTTTTTTTATCTGTTAAATGCATTTTGTTGTGAACTTGGAGWCTCTAGGAGGCGAAAAAGTTGAATTTCGTGTCTCCTGGTGCTGCAAAGGTATCTATATATTCTGTTTGGGTCATATTTTTCAACCCGTTCAGTTTTCTCCATTTTCTATGATGTTTTCTGAACTATTATGTCACAGTTTTTGTGAGGGAACTTCAAAATAAGGCCTGGACTACAATTTGGTGGTCTTCATTCTCCTCTGGTTCTGGGTCAGACTCTGGCTCCAACATGTTGAGGCTGGATGGACAAGTCTTCCCCTGTTGACATCTTTTAATTAATTTGTAAATAAAACATTTCTGTACCGCTATATAGTCGTAAACCCTTCTATTAAACTAGAATAGAGCGGTCTGGAAGCTGGAGGGGGACGGGGTGTGAAGGAGACAGCCTCAAAACGAGCTGATCTGAGACACACCTCAGAAAAGAGGGGCTTGTGGAGTTACAACAGGGAGGAATTCAGACCAAAGCATTGCTGTTCCACTTTATATAGACCAAAACTGAATGCTTTACTATTTAAACGTGAAAAATAAGGATTTAAAAACATATGTCTCCTTTAACACAAAAATTGACAAGTCTACTCAAAATTAGGAAAACAGCTTTCCCAAAACACTTTTGAACAGTTTGTACATTTAAAAAAACATGTCCAGATTTGTCATTAAGAAGCTGCTACCTGTAAGAAGAAAAGGTGTTGAGTGATCTCTTGCACCAGTTCTTCTTCTACTTTTTCAGGGAAGAACTTTGCAAGGAAGTGAAATGTTATGGGTGAGTCCTTAGGAACCTCCTGGTCCAGAACCTTGTAACAAATCAGAGAAGAAGAATATTGTGTTTATTTTTCTAGACTCTCACATTCTGAAGCGTCACACTTTCAGCACAACTGGCAACACGAAACAGCTTAAACAGAATAAATCTGATATTTTACCAAACTAAATTCAAAATTTGTTTCGCTTCAGAACTCAGATGTCACTCTTGCATCATATTTAAATGCTCTAATCTCACATTCAGCTCGTGGCTCACCCGTTTCTCTAGCTTCAGCCAGGCGTARGTGTCCTTCACCGTGTACCTGAGTCCAAAAAACCAGGTCTCCCTCAACCCAACAGTCCGACACACCAGGTCAAACAGGTCTTTACCTTTCCATTTAACCTGGGGAGAGGGGAGAAATCAATATGGACTCACAAGACCAAAACGGTTACAGATATGCACAATCCTGCAGTCCCCAAAGGTGAGGACAAAGTTGTGGTTTTATTTCTGTCAGTGACACTGCTGACCCCTGCTGGACACTTTTAGGTCCATCAGGATCACTCTCCAAGTTGACATTCAAGACTGTTATACTTCTGTACTAMACCATAAATTAAAATGAAATAATCAGTGAAGTAATGCGCTTACTTACATTTAATCCAAAGCAATTATATTCAAGGAAAAATCACGGTATTAAATAGCTTTTTTAAATAAATACATCAGTCCTTTTTTACTAAAAAACAAGAGTACATACATATCTATAAGTTTGCACTCTCGATTTTTATCGTACATTTTTATTTTTGAAAGGCTTCCTCTATCATCTGTCCTTCTGACATTTGGCTTTTTCTTGTCACTTCTAAAACACACTTTTAAAATGTTTGTTAAAGTTTATAATCAGTTCCACGTGATTAGTTTTCCACTGTGCCACTTACTATGCATCTGCAGACACATTCAGGTCAGAAATTGTTTTTATTTTTTCAACTACCTAAATCTTAACTCTCATTCTAACACATTTTTTCATGCAAATATTATTTCTAGTATTTGCAGATACCCTCTGCTAGAACACAGCTTGATGAGTGAAGCTCCTACCCAGACTGAACCAGTCAGAAACTGACCAGCCACTAAAATCTGCCCAACATCTTCCAGTGAGTGCAAACCTAAAAACATTCCCCCAGTAAGTTAAATACTGTAATATACTGCTTAAAAATGCATACATACAATTGTATATACTCCACAAAGACAAACTTATTATTTAAGACATATAGTTGTGGGATGGGATGCATACCTCACAGCTGAACTCCATTTCAGCATCCATAGTGATAACTTTAACTTTAAAGGTCTTCGGTTGTTTCTTCTTTAATCCTAGGATAGACATGTTGATGTGCTTCTACAAAAACAAACAAAAACACATGTTTACATACCCATAACACATAAGTAAACAATCATGAAAAGCATACAGATAATGCTTTAAGAAAACTACAGTGATTTTATTCWGATTATTTTACACAGGAATACATAAACATGTTACTTCTTTCCAAAGGTCAGCAGGTTTTAAAAGTTGTGAAAGGCCTATTTACCAGGGAGTAAAGTTAGAACTTCTGCCGTCCAACAAGGTTCAGAGGCTGGGCTTTTGTATGACCAATGCTAAGCTAATTCCTCTCACTTTAACAGCGTTTTCTGTCCCGCTACGACACAAAAACAGACCAAAACAAGTTGGACAAAAACCGAAACTTTTGGGCGACCTCCATACTGTAACGTATCAAGTAATAWATATTTAGAAGTTGTAACGAATTACGCTTGTAACAACTTTTCTGAAGCTATCGACTGCTATGGATTTAGCCACTTAGCTTAAGGGTTTTCCAGAAGATTTTTGTTTTGACTGCGAGGCTCTCTACAGGTGGGAACATGAATAACATTCAGGAATGAAGCGACTGCGCATGRGCAAGAAAACACGCATGACCACTTKAAGGGTAGTCGGGAATTTTGARTTACACAGACAGCTCGCTGTGTCAGTGATGTAAAGTCGCATCAGTTTTATTWAAAAAAATTATCTGTATGACCTTCACTTAAAATTAAAACGCATAAAGGCAAGGCGGTTCATACATCACGGGTTGTTTTTAATGGGACAAAACAAAAAAAAATGACCCGAACTCGTATTAACCTGAGAGATTTTACCGAGGGAATACTGAACTAGGCATATGTGCGTCATTCTTTTTTCTGCATTTGCGCATGAGGCAAGTACTTCCTATAGTGTACAGTTAAAGGACAACACAAACAACTATTACAATCTCACTAAAAACATTTTAGGATTCATTCAAAGCTGTATATTGGTTCAGCACAAGTAGAATTATATCTGTAATTAGTCAGCTGTTGTTGTTTTTGACTTAACTGCATTTATTCCTTTTCCTGAACAAGGTTTCCCAATAATGTCAGCTGAGACAAACACCTTTGATAGTGTGAAAGCTGTCATTTTATCAGCTCACAAAGGCACCACGTCACGAGAAAAGGTTACATTCTACAACACCTGGGCAGAGAACTATGATACGGTGAGAAAACGAAAAAGGAGCAATATATATATATATATATATATATTTGGCACACCAAAACTAAAAAATATTAAAGAATTGAAGAAGTTCTTTTGTGCTGCTGTAAAACAGGAATTTGAAAACTTTATCTGTGAGTTAAGGAAATGTCAACTGATGTACTTCAGTTTCTAATTTTATAGATAATATTTCTGATTTTATGATGTGCATTGATCAGAATAAATAACATTTGGAGTAATTTTGTGTATATATCCTTGCACACACATGTTTACATGCACAGTGTTGAATACATTGATTGAATTGGTGGAAGCTTGGCAGGGTTAAAGCACCATTTCAGAAAATCATAGTGAAGTAATAAAAAGTGTCACCTATAATTGTAAACCATGATGGCTGGTCTTTTTTTTTTCCTGTAAGCTAACCTTTGAGCAGTTCATCTCACTGTAAGAAACTAGTTTCCATCCAATTAATGTGAATTTTGAGCAAACTTAAAACGTCGCAAAAAAGAATGGAATGTAAATTAGGTGTTTTGTTTGTTTGGAGTGAATCAAGCATGCAGAAACTGCAAAGCGTAATTTCCTCAGATGTTAWTGTTACACAAGGCTGTAATAAGCAGGAAGTAGGCTACAAACTAACAGGGACCACAAATCCTGGGACAATGTAGATAWGTTTTCAGGCAAGTTGTAATTGTTTTCTCATATCAACTACTGTAATATCCTGGAAGACGCTGTCAAAATTCGCTGCGCCAGAACTTATTCAGAAAATGTGTTTCCATCTCCCCTTTTGTGCATTAACTTTTTTTCAAAAATTCCAAAAAGCCTTTCAGGCAAGCGTAAAAAGTGTTTTTGGAATTTTGCCTTCTTCACCAAACYTTTCTAATGCAATAATTAAAAATGCAGATAAAAAACACTGATGGAAACATGGCTTATAAAATACAAAAATCACAAATATGTGTTGTACAATGCAGGGCGGGTGTGGAGTATGTTAGATAAAGGCTTCCTGAGAAATGTGTGAGAAATAACCACTTATGGTCGTATATCTGTATTATATTTCAAACAGGATGTGGCTGTTCTGGATTACCGCGCACCGAGCCTGGCAGCGAACAGCATCGCTTCACATTTCAGTGGCWCGAGGGAAGCAGCCGTGGTGTTGGACGTGGCGTGTGGGACAGGACTGGTGGCCAAACAGGTTACTAACTGATTCATGAATCAATTACAAAATAAACAAGGTGACTAATAAGCCACAGGCACAATAAAACATGTTTAAAAAGGCATTTTTTTACAACTTTGTATTGAAACCTTTTTAGAGAATAGTTTTTTCAAATTAGGCCCAGTCACTGTCAGTATGATTGACAAGCATGTGTATATTTGCTGCACAGCTGAACAAACATGGATTTAAACTTTTTGTGGGTGTTGATGGAAGTGAGGCCATGCTGGACAAGGCTAAAGAGACTGGTTTGTACCAGGACCTGAAGCAGTCCCTGCTGGGGGAGGATCCTCTACCTGAACAGTTTGGTAATTAAATCTAAAAGGATCATCCAGGTCATCAGTCACTCTTTTGGTGATTCTCAGAAGAGTTCTCATTTTGATTAAAACTCGTTCTTCTAACCTGCAGCTGGCTCATTTGATGTGGCTGTGATCGTTGGGGCTCTGAGTGTCGGTCAAGTTCCTGTTAATGTGGTCAGAGATCTGTTCAACGCCACCAAACCAGGTCAGTATTTTTATTTATTGTGCTTCAGCTTTGCTGTTAATGAGCTCCAACCATGCTTTACTCTGCTGCACTTTTACATCTGTCCACTAGGTGGCTATATTTGCATGACTACCAGAAGCAACCAGAACAACTTGGAGTACAAAGCTAGTCTTGACAGGGAGCTGAGGAAGATGGAGGAAGAGGGACTCTGGACTTGTTTAGAGGTCACAGAGGTGGAGGACTGGGAGAGAGCTGTGTCAGAGCAGGAGGATGGCTACATATCCGGAGTCGTGTACCTCTATAAGAAGCTGCAACACTGAATACAGTCGTCTAAGACAGTGGTTCCCAAAGTTGGGGTCGGGACCCACAGTGGGGTCRCGAAACATCAAGGTGGGGTCCTGAAAAGATTTTCTGAATTAATTACACTAAAAATGATAACAAACACTTTTTTGCCTTTGTTGTTACAAAAGAGTAAAGTTAGTGGGTAACACTTTCTTTTACGGTACCCTTATTACCATGAAATTACAAGGTAATAAAAAATATAATTAAATGTAATTACTACCTTATTACCATGTAATTACAAGGTAATTAGGGTACACTTTTACTATATAATTAATTGCAGTAATGTAGCACTTACCTGGTAATGTATTACAATTCACTATGTAACACCTAAATAAGTTGTAGGTAATTTGGACAGTTTTAAAGTTGTGTTTTATTGCAATTAACCACTAACCCTAAAATTTAGTAGCATCCTTTTGGTTATAAATATAGTGTTGAGTTACTATTGAATAGTAATTTGATTGCAGTTACCCAATAAAGGTAGTTTTACTAACAGTAGTTTTTTGTACCATAATACCACGTAATTACTTGGTAATAAGGTAGTAATTACATTTAATTAAATTTTTATTACATTGTAATTACATGGTAATGAGGATACCGTAAAAGAAAGCATTATGTTAGTGTACTTAAAATGGACAAAAATATTGTGATTATGATTTTGTTATCAGCCAACAACAGCTGGGGTCCCAGGTCTCTTCTGCTGGTATTTTGTGGGTCAAAAGCTGAAAAGTTTGCGAACCACAAGTCTAACAGGATGTGGTATCAAATGAGAAAATGTGAAAAAAAAATCCAAGTATTTTTTTATTGAATTCACTGTGAAATAAAATAGTCTTGTAATGTTTGTGAGTCTCATGTACAAAGATGTCATATCATTTTAACAATGAAGACTTGAAATAGTTTGAGTCAAGTTCTAGTTTTAAACAGAGTCAAATTGCAGTAAAACTGGTTCTACAACTTCAGTAAAATATCCTACACACACACACACACACACACACCAACACACACACACACACACACACACAAAAAAGAAAAAGAAAAAAAAACTGTTACAAAAACCTGAAAATGAACCAGTCAGAATAAATGGAGGAAGCTATAAATGTGGAATTTTTCAAACAAGTTCGGTTTAGTTTGAGTAAACCAGTTTTATTATTGTCTTACTCCTCTTTTTGGAGAAGACGTGAAAGTTCAAAAATAAGGTCTCTTGTTAAAAAAATCTAAATGTTCTTATTTCCTCCCCCTTGATTTCACAGCAGGGACTAATAAAAAATTAACTTGCATGTGGTGATGTTTTACACATGCATGCACCTTCTCAGTGTTTACACTGTTTACCATGGAGCTCTATATTTTATTACTGCTCTTAAAACCATGACACATCTATGTGTTTTACACACGAGTGGGATGGTCATTTTTTATTACTATTTTTTTATTTCAAACTTTATTCATTTCTTTAAAAACAAAATTCTATATACAATAAAAAGAAAGAAATACAATGAAATGAAAGGCAGCAGAGAGAAGAAAAAATCTTATAACATCTACTCCTTTTTTCTCAAGTATAAATTCAAACAATAGTAATTTTCAGTTAAAACAAAACAAAAATCTTCCTTGTCTGATAAACTGACTGGAGTCCTGAGTTCAGCTCTGCAGAGCAGCCACAGCCCACCGGGGCTGCACCCTGAACAAAACAAACAACCACACTCCAGTGAAATTTTAGCTCATTAAAATGAGTTAAAATCACCATGTTAACCTCCACACCAACATTCAGTTAAAAATATCCATACACAATATTCATGGAGATAAAAGTAAAYCTACATATTGATTTATTTTTAGTAGTTGTTATAATAATGTGTTTGCCTGTTTTTTCTATATCAGATAAAGTTAATGATAATAAAATAAACTTAATGACTTCAAAGGTTTAATAAAAAGTTCTGTGTAACCTTAAAAAAGTTATAAAGTTCTTTAATTATTGTTTATTTATTTAATTTTAGATTTTGAGTTTAAATGTATTCTATTAATGTTAATACAGTATTGCCAAGGCAGAAATCAATGTTTTTAACCTGGTAAAACTAAATGACTCAGTAACAAAGTGATGTTGATATTCTTTCAGCATGGTGTCAAAACAGAAGCACAAAGGGTTAAAATTAGGGATGCACAATACAGTACATCGGTATTGATATCGGTATTGATATCGGTATTGATCATTTTTTAGAATATCGGTATCGGTGCGATWTGTAAAACTGGGCCGATATTAATGTCCGATATTGATTTCCCACTTTTTATCTTTGTGTTTCTGTTTTGGGAGGGGAGATGTTTGGTTGAGCAGCATCTGTTTGATCATTAGTGATATTGGTGCTGTGCAGCCAGGAATAACTGAAGTAGAGCCATGTCAGAGGTCTGGTTGTTTATTTACAGTATCAAAAAAAAGACCCAAGTGTGTTTGTGTGTATATGAATAATATAATTTGTGAGTTTGCGTAATATTGGTAAATATCGGTTATCGGCCATAACAGCAATAATTATATGGAATATCGATATCGGCTCAAATTTTCATATCAGTGCATCCCTAGTTAAAATCATCCTGCAGTTAAATGTTATAAAAATGAACAGAACCTTTAGTTCACGRCGGCTTGCTAACCTTATTTACCACGTCTGGAGTGTGTTTTGTTAAAACTTAAAAGAGCAAATTAAAATATCACAGTTATTCCAACAGTTATTGTAAAGTTAGTGCACAAAGTACTTTAGACCAGTGGTTCCCAAACTTTTTATCTTCTGACCCACAAAATATCCATGGCAAAAACTTGTGACCCCAAATATTACTGGTCTGAGTACACTTTGTTAAAATCCCTAAAAACACAGGCTTTTTGACAATCTAAACAGCTTGTACTCAAATA